GTGACTCTGCCCATTGCCGCCTAAGAGAACACCTCCCTGTTTTTAGGTTAACCCTTTGGAATCACTTCTTTAACTCCTTCCGTGGCTTTGCAGGAATGAAGTGCTTTGTGCGATCCTGGAAAATAATCCTGGGAGGAAAATAAACACGCCTCAGATGATGGCTGTTTGCAGCTTTGTGCCGTTTGCACCTTGCTTTTCTCATACATTGCTTTCAAGTAGCTCTGCTACTTTCTCCTTCAGAACATTACTCAGAGTTCTTCATTATGTTACAAAATTAGCAGAGTAGTGTTAATTGTGGCAGAATTAGCAAGGGAGTTAAAAGAACTTAGCTAAGACTGAGTAAGTCTCAAAGGGAGGAATTTTAAGGGGCAAGAATACACCCAAGGACATAAATTCTTGCAACTGTGACTCCTTAGGACTAGATGATCTGTAAGGTCCATTCCAACCCTTAAAATTCTAGGATAGAATAGGATAGGATAGGATAGGATAGGATAGGATAGGATAGGATAGGATAGGATAGGATAGGATAGGATAGGATTCGAGTGCAGATGAACCTGCAGAAACCAAACCAAGACCAAGATAAGGAACTTTACAATCTGCAAAGGAGATAACAAGCTAAGCCAAGACCATGTATGGAAGGAAAACTCAAAGGTCATGGAAAGGACACTAATGGACATCTTTTCAACAACCACAAGGCACCACCAGAGACTATCCAAACCCCTCATGGATAACCCCCAAGAAGCCACCGACCCAAAGAGAGAATCCCTAACCAATAGAGGATAGAATATGAATTAAGGGGGTTGATTCCCAATTTTGGTGACATACCCACTCAGTGTGTGGCTGTACCCCTTGGCATGCCTCACATCATTAAATCTGCTTTTTTTCCCCCCAGAAATCACCACATTCCTCTCTCCCCTCCAGTCCACAGGTACTGCTGCGACCAGGTGGTCCCACAGGCTTTTCTTTTCCAATTATGATGATTTTACAGGCTCAAAAGTAGATGAATAGTGGAAAATAAAACCACTCCAGTTCTCAGCCTGGGAGTGTGTTTAAGGCACAGGAGTGAGGCACTGCATTTACAGTGTTCCCAAACCTGCAGAAATGTCATTAAACCACAATAAACCATGTTAATAATTGTCATGGCTTGCACTTCTCCTCGCCCTCCTGCCCTGGGGGTTTGCTGGCTGAGGGCAGTGGTTGCTGCAGGGATCTGGGGATTTGGGGTGATGGTGAAGCCCCTGGAGCAGAGTTGGTGTCAGTGTTGGTGAGCACAGCCCAACACTGATCATAGAGTCATAGGACTTTAGGGGTTGGAATGGAGTTTAGAGATGATCCAGCCCCAACCCCCTGCCCTGGGCAGGGACATCTCCCACCAGAGCAGGTTGCTCAAGGCTTCATCCAACCTGGAATGAAACACTGCCAGGGTTGGGGCAGCCACAGCCTCCCTGGGCAACCTTTGCCAGTGTCTCACCACCCTCACAGGAAAAATCTTCCTAATATCTAACCTAATTTTCCCTCTTTCAATTTGTACCCATTACCCCTTATCCTGTCGCTGCAGTTCCTAACCAAGTGTCCCACTCCAGCTTCCCTGGAGTCCCTTCAGCTCCTGGAAGGTGCTCTGAGTTCTCCACACAACCTTCTCTTCTCCAGGCTGAAAAGCCCCAACTCCCTCAGCCTGTCCTCACAGGGGAGATGCTCCGGTGCTCTTAGCAACTTTGTGGCCTCCTCTGGACTTTCTCCAACAGTTCCATGTCCTTCTTACATTGAGGGCACCAGAACTTTCCTCTCTGCTGGATGCAGCCTGGTGGTCCAGCTCACACATGTTCAAGCCTGGCTGTGTTTTATGGCTCCTGCAGAGCTTCCCTCCCTCCATCACACCATCGCTGCCATCCTGCCTCTGGACCTGTTTGACCCCGTGGATGTGCCACAGGCTCTGTTTGTAGCTCTGTTTCAGAGGAGCAGGTTTTGGGGTGCAGCTTTGAGGACACATCAAGGGGAGGAAACAGAGTTGAAGGGCTGTGTTAGCCCCGTTTAACCCAGCACGTGTAGGAACTCATGTGATGGAGGCAGATGCAAGACCCTGCATGACACTCACTGGGGCTGCAGCTGCTTGTACCTTGAAGTGTGCATTTCCCTTCATCATTTCTGATGATTGAGAGGAGCACAAGTTCCTTTCCAGCCGGCTCACAGCCCCCCTCCTGCCCCAAGCTTGGGCAGGCTCAGGCTCAGGACTGGAAAAAGTGAACACTGAACAACAAGACTCTTTTGCCTTTCTATTTCTACTGCAGGCAGATAATTTTTCTAATCAACTCTGTAGCGTGACTCAGAGCTACATTTAGAAAGGAACATCAAGGAACATGTCACCCTGTGTAGCCCTTCAACCAGGTACATTCCC